GACTGTTCCCTGCTCAGCTCCACTCTGCAGCTCAGGCCTCATTCCCTCGCCCTAGCCACGTTTCCCAGGCCACGCCTCGTCAAACTCCACATCTTATTGTTTTTTCTTTGCTATGTTTTTTGCACTTGCGCCTAATAAATTGTTACATCATCTGCCATCTCTGCTCTGGGTTTCTGCACCTGAGTCCTGTTCAGTATAGGCCACTCGGCCCCGTGACAGTTCTATCTTATCTCATATGTTATCTGAAATGTTACTCTGTAGCTCAGGGGTGTCAAACTCAAATACACAGTGGGCCAAAATTCAAAACTGGAACAAAGTCGCGGGCTAACGTTAATATTTATTGAAATATATTTATTCCTCCAGATATAAGAATGAATATTTTCTTCATACACGTTTTGCTGAAAAACTGAATATGGAACAAGCAAAGCTTGATACTAATATGTATATATATATATGTATATATATATATATAAATAAATAAAATATTTTTTTAGCTGTGTAATACCAGTAGGCCAGCTCTAATAGTAATTTGGTATGGCTTTGCGGGCAAAATTTGACACCTATGCTGTAGCTGATTGTGTCGTATTTTAAGTGTGATGAGATTATTTTGACTAGAAATAAGACAAATATACTTGGTAGGATTTAGAGTTTTTACAGTGTTTGTTTCAGATGAGGTTCAACTTAACTTTCATTGATTTTTTTTTTTTTCTTTTCAAATATCTATAGTTGTATGACTATTGATCAAGATGACACAAAAAGCAGAGCATAATGTTGACAGTGTGTCTTTTGTGCAGGAACTTTGAGCTAAAATGCATTTTTACTGTTGTTGCGATAATTTTCAAGCTGATGTAATATTTGCGAGTCAGGCATTTGTGTGTTCTTAAAAAACCCCAAACAAAAGCCATTGCTGCATTAATAACTCTGTTTTCTTACATGCATAGAGAGAGAGATCCTGTTAAGAGTGACTGCAGGGGTTCATTTACTAGAAGGGCAAATTGAAATGATTAGTTTCTAAACTCAAGTGAATTGGGGTGCAAACTAAAAATAAAAAAACTGTCTTTTCACTGTAAATCTTAAAAATTACCCTGCAAGTGTGACTGCATGCAGGTAGTGGGCGGGGTTTCATGTTTTGCAACTTCCCCATTCAAGACAAAGTGAAGGCAACTAGAAGCATGGAAATATAAAACTGTCTCTACTCTAAAAATCACTACTCTGGTTTGTATTTGACTCTGAGTGGAGTATGGAGTGTTTAAAGTTGGCAACGACGACGTCTCTGTTCAAGACAGACGGGGACAGATATCATGCTTCAGAGTTTGATGACTGAGACCGTTGGAACATTCCTGAGGCAAGTAAGGGCGATGTTTACACTTATCACACTGCGTCTACTTGAAGAACAGCATAGTCACAAGAAAACTGGCCTTTAGTAATAAAGCATTATGAGATAGACTACTATGCTCTTTTCTTTTGTGCTTGCAGGGTGCTTTTGTATAAATGCAGAGAATAGAAATGTGTGTATTGGTAACTGTTATTGGCTGTACTTGATTATACTCTGATTACTTGATAAAAACTTGATCAGAGAAAATCAAATATTTAGTTTTCACGAGTTTAATACATGCTGACGGTGAATTCCAGTAAATGGGGGTTGGTATTTTTAAAGTTGACTACCACAACTTCCTCCTTCAGTTTTCACCAGTATTATCTGCATTATATTTCATGTGTGGGCGGTCTCGAGGCAAGTGAAGGCAACACTTGCAATTAGTCACATGTTCTGTTGTGTTTGCAGTGTGCTTATCTATGAATGTTGTGAATGTAAATATCTGTACTGGTACTGCACTTGTTTAAGATCATATTACTTGTCAGAGACCTGATGACAGAATCCTGATTTATTTTCACGTATTTGCTTCAAAGTAGCAGTAAATGTGTTTATGAACCTGATAAATACAATATAATAACACAGCCGTCTATATTATTTGTTACCAGTTTTCTACATGTACTTTTTATTGAATTTTCATCACTGTAACTACATGAAATCTCCCTTTTCCACCGACAGGTCTTTCTTTGATGAAAAGGTGAACAGTGCATCTTTTGCCAGAGCTCCATCCCTGAATGGCAGATAGAGATGGGGCCCATCCATGTGATGATGTGGATCAATATTGGTGTCTGCCTTCCTTTGACCATACTGGTCATCTGCTGTTTGTGTTGTGTGGTATGTAGCTAATCACTAAATATTGTGCATTTTATGTCTGTCAGTATATGAACAAAATACGGAGCCCCGCAGGGGACATGGGAGAAAAAAAATTATTAAGACAGACTTAAGTTTTAGCCGCATTCTTTGGAGGCCGCCAGCTCGAAGCCGACCGGGAGGTTGAGGCACGATGTGCCGGGAAAGCGGTGTTCCTCCCAGCTGTAGTAGGTCTCGACCTCCCGTTAGCTTCGAGCTAGTGGGTGTCAGATCTCCGAAAACGTCGGAGCACTTTTACAAATATGTGATGTCTTGTAAACTGAGCAGGTATCTGACGTTTACACAACTACATTCACGCCTCAAAATATCTTAAAAGTGTATTTTGTGACCCAGAAAGAGTAATATTACAACTAAGTAG